AGAGAGAGAGAGAGAGAGAGAGAGAGAGAGAGAGAGAGAGAGAGAGAGAGAGAGAGAGGACCACAGAGTTTGAGTGCTGTGCAAACACTGATTCCGATCAAACAAGTGCAATCGGAGAACTGAAGGAAAGGGAAAAAACTTGAGAAAAGGGGAAAAAGAAAAAAAACAAAATTTAAAAGTAGAGCAGAAAGGTAGTCAAGCATAGCTATGGAAAACCTGGACACTAAATGAATAGAGACGGCGGATCTGGTCAATCAGGAAATGCCATCTGGACGTATCTGGTCTTGTTTCTTTCTAAGTAAATAGATATTCAATTGTAAGGACCTGCCAAAACACGGACTGAGAACACAGCTGATTTTCGAGTTTTGCAGCCGTAATGTATGCCTTGCTCAAATTTCTGCTTTTTGCTGAGTTTTCTCAAGTCTGTGTGTGTGTGCGTGTTTGCTGGTCTGCGTGCCTGTCTGAGTGCTTGTCGGCCTGAGTGTGTGTGTGGCCCGCCAGGACACTTGTTTCTTTGGGAGGCCCGTAGGGCCAGTACTTACCTGAGGCTGTGACTTTGAGGGTTGCAGTGGGGAAAAACACTCAAGTGGCTGAAGGGGTAGCTTAGGGCACACTCAAGTTACTCTAGCATAGTATCGGTACTTGTAGTACTTGAGTAGCGGTAGGCTGAGAAGAAAAAGACAAAAAGTTGTATTTTTAGAGGCCCAGTAGCGGTAAGCCTAGGTCTAGGCGTGTACCAGTCCAGGTAGCCTGAGTCTAGGGCATGTGCGGACGATATCAGAGCCTGCAATGATGTTTCCCTCCGAAAGGGAGGAGGTACCAGTTGCTTGGAGGCTGAGCGGCCTGGAAGTCACCGCCCAAGAGGCAGGTTGGCCGCTATCTCTGCAGGAAGAGCGTTGTGCTCTTGCTCATCTGCTGCGTGCAAGTTTGGGCGTCATGCTGCTTGAGCGCCTGGTGGAGGGCGTTAGTTTGCAGCGCTGGGAGAGGAGCGCCCAGCCCTCCACCTTCGGCTATGGTGGACGGGCTTGGGTAGGAGGAGGAAGGAGAAGGGGACTAGGAGAGGGGAGCGCCAGAGGGATGTACCTGGCTATGGTGGACGCCATCCTCATCACCTTGGTAGGCGCGGCGTCTGGAAGATCCCAGCTGGGGTAGCACTGCGTCAAGTAGCTTCGAGGCAGAGTCAGGTATGGCGGCCTGAGCAGAGGAGGACATAGCTGCTTTTGCGTTGTCTTTTGCACATCAGGGCAAGGCCCTTAAGTAGTCCGCCATAGTCTCGGCCTTGATGAAGTGAGAGAGGAGGAAGGCCATGGCTATGGTGCACCTCATACTGTGCCAGTAGTCAAAGAGGGATTCAGACATTGATTCTGGTTCAAGCCATTCATTGTTATTATTATTATTTAATATTTATTGTTTGGATAAGAGAGGGGAGGTAAGGAGGAGGAGTTGATTAGCGAAGAAGGGGGAATCGTCGCTGGTCTATTGTTGGTGTACATCTTCTTCTCCTTCTTCTTCTTCTCTCCCTCTCTCTCTCTTTCTCTCTCTCCCTCTCTCTCTCTCTCTCTCTCTCTCTCTCTCTCTCTCTCTCTCTCTCTCTC